CCCCCCCCCCCCCCCCCAGTGCTAAGGAGAAGTATCATTGGAAAATTTCTTCTTCCCTTGAAAGAATTTGGAGAAATCGTCCACCTATTGTCTCTGTCCAGGGTGGAGAATTTCAAAAAGCACGTTGTGCCAAGTTTTACTGCATTTCTTCAACCCACCTGATTTTTGCTCTTTATTGCTGTACTCTTCTAGAGATGATAAAATTCAAATAAGTTAAATTATGGGAAAGGAAAGTTAAGGAAATTTTCTCTTCTTCTTTAGATCCTGTCACTGCTGTTAATGACACTGACTGGCACATGGCATGATGGATAGGCTCCTGTTTCTATAATCATATTTACTATGCAATATTTTCTTTCTTTTGCTAGTATTTTCTCCAATTTATTGTGTATTTCTTTCTCTTCCTTCTGAGCAAAAGTAGTTCAAGTCATTTAGAATTAAGACAGGGGAAGTCAACATGGTGCTGTCTATCTATTTGGAACTACAACTCTCACGATCCTTTAACTTCGGCTAAATTGGCTGGAGAAATGGGAATTATGATACAAATTTTGGAAAACTCTAAGCTTGCTAAAGTATCATCATTGAATTGGGGGAATGTTTTCACAACATGATTCTAATAAGAAAAAAGGCATATGTGACAGATTTTAGAAAACTGCATTTTTGTCAGAATGCAGGTATACTATTTGTTTGTTTGTTTGTTTATTTCAAATTTGGTCACTGCCCACCTCACTAGGAAGTGACTCTGGGCAGTTTACAGTAAAAACAAAAAATAAATATTAACATACAATGGATATTAATTAAAATACAATTAAAATACAATAAAAGCCATATTCATACATAAATATTATCTTCCAAGGTGCTGCTGGTAGAGAGGATATTAACATACAGGAACATCTTCAAGGGCTAGCTACTCCCTTTTCTTACCCCATGCAAGATGGCAGAGCCAGGTCTTAGCCAACTTAACCCATGCACCCAAAATGGTAATCCATAACAAAGGTATTTAATTTGTGATAAGTGGCAGGCGTACTGCTTTACTTTCATTCATACAGTAATCTAGTTCTTTAGGCTTCTTTAACAATTGCTGCTAGGCCTGCATGACTTCAATATAAGAATGATTTATTATAAGAATTAATTATAAGAGTTAAGATGAAGGTTTTATAATACCTTAGGAAACAGATTGATGGGTGTAGTAGGCTAAAATGCATAATGGATCTATGCAAAGTTTATTCATAATGTGATTTAGAAGTGATTCTTCTCGAGTACAACAAATCTTTAATTACAACAAATTTTTGATCATAGCAGAATATAGAAATGATCATATTCTGAATTATAAAATAATATACTTCACCCCAAATCTGAACACTGAAACTAATCATGAAAATAAAAAGTGCTTAAATGTATATAGTTTACCATTGATCCACCACAAATTTCCCATACCATCATTAATTTTATTATTTTCTCTATCTCACAGGGTTGTTATTATGGTGAACAAAGTTAACCTGTGAAAATCAGCCTTGATCTGAATTCGAAGATTTGAGATTTAGAGAGAATATTATTTGATTTGAAATTGATTTTGAAATTTGATTGGAAAAAAAATTGAATCAAATCTTCCTATAACTGGAAAGTGTCAGAACACCCAAGCTCCTTCATTTTCTGCCAGAATAAAGTGAACATTGTAGAAATTTTATGTTCTTTAGATAGTAACTCTGACAGACTTCAGCTGGATACACTCAAGGTTTTCAGTGCAATAAATTTCTGAAATATTTTCCTCTTTTTAAAGGAAGAGATAGCAAGGATGCAACAGCCTCCAAATAATCCAGCAAAGAGAAGAAATTGTGTTGAACAACTGTAGAAGCTCTCCTACTAACTTATAAATAAAAACTACCAGAATTGTTTGAAAAGTAAACTCCTAGCTTTCCATTTGCTTTTCTGAGATGCCGAGCATGGCATAACACTGAAGAATGATCATTGTTTGCTCTTGTGGAGAGTGGTGGTTTGCTGTCTCTAATCACTGGGTTTGAGACAGCCAGTTTGGTGTAGAGATTAAGGCACCAGCTAGAAACTGGGAGACTGTGAGTTCTAGTCCTGCCTTGGGCACAAAGCCAGCTGGGTGACTTGGGGCAGTCACTCTCTGTCAGCTCTAGGAAGGAGGCAGTGGCAAACCACTTCCAAAAATCATGCCAACAAAACTGTAGGGACTTGTCCAGGCAGTCTCCAGGAATCAATAGTGACTCAAAGGACACACACATGGACACACACACACACACACACACAATCACTAGACTTAATAGAGTGCCAGGAGAGTTAGCATAACTGGTTGGAGGCTTGGAAACTCTGCAGAGGACACCCTCATCACTAGCAGAACTTGCTAGTGTTATAGTTATTATTCACTATCAAAGTTGTTTAGCTATCAGAGACAGCAAAAGCAGGCTAGGACTGTGAGCAACAAGGCCAGAGAGAGAGGCAAGCCAAAGAAAGATGCTGGCATGGCAAAAATGGCCTTGATCACCTTGGCACCTGGATTCTTAAAAACTGACTTTAAGTCCTTATGTCAGCCAGGTGTTTATTTACACATTGTTGAGAATCTTGAACCTGCTGCTGTCATGCAGAATTTAAAAGTTGAGACTGATTCAAAAGCGTATACTGCATTGACCTAAGAATGCTTACTGGACTGATCAGCCTTAAGGCTATATACAGAGTGCTGGAAGCTGAGTTGAAGTCCCAAATGTAATGACAGAATCAGGCCACAAGTGAAACTTTCTATTAACACGAGAGAGATAAGTGAAGGCTTGTGGCTGGATGGACACATTAAAGATGCTGAAAGCTGAGAAAGTGAATGAAGCCTAAAAGAAGGTTAGCCAAGTTACCCAAAAGAATCTGATAGGCAGAAAGATTAATGAGGTGGTAAAACTCATTGGCTAGCTACTCATGTCAATCAGAGAGCCTATTGCTGCATTAAAATCCTCTCAGTTTTCTCCACATATGGACATTACATATCATCTGTAATATACAGCATTGCATATCACCGGTAACAACCCCAGAAGCAGAAGAAAAGCCACTGAATCAATTGTGTTTTGCAGCCACTGATTCATTTCCCTGTCTCAAAACCAGTCCCCACTTTGATTTGCAAATCTGCCATAATGGGATGATTTAGTTAAAACTTTGAAAAATTGAAGCACTCTTTTGAAGCTTTACACAGCCTTATCATGTTTGCCACCTTGTCCTCTTTAAGAAAGTTAGGATATAAGGCTAATCAATGAATAATAAATAATAACAAATAATGCTCTTTAATCTCTTTGCTTTGGGGGAAAAAAAACAGTTATAAGCCCATCCAGCTGGCTAATTTGTATTGAAAAATTTATTCACATGATCATGAGTGCAAACTGAAAATAGACTGTGCAACAAAGATCGTAAGACTGCTACTCCTAAATACCATGGTGTGTGTTCCTGATTTGGAAACAGCACATTGAAAGCAATTCCTAGATGTCCCAGGAAATGATTATTTTAAAAGAAATAATAAACCAGGACTTCTACCCTCAAGTTAGAAGGGAAGGGAAGGGAAGGGAAGGGAAGGGAAGGGAAGGGAAGGGAAGGGAAGGGTTCTTATCAGTTGTCATTCATTCTCATTTTGATCAAACAAGCTTGTTGAAACAGTCACAGTAGATCAGTATTTCTCAACCCTGGCCACTTGAAGATGTGTGGACTTCAATTCCCAGAATTCTCCAGCCAGCTTGCTGGCTGAGGAATTCTGGGAGTTGAAGTCCACACATCTTCAAATTGCCAAGGTTGAGAAACATTGCAGTATATTGTAACTAGGCTAATTTAATGCTTTTTAATGTATACATTTTACATAGGAGCTGTGATCACTGAGAAGGCTGCAGATGTAAACAAAACTTTCCCCATGATAACAGACATATCCACACCTAAAAAAAAAAAAAAATCGGTATTGTGAACTGGCATTATAGCAAGCAATGCAGTGATTAAATATGATGGAGAGTTGAGGTGAGCCAGGAAATAACCAACCACGTTAAATACATACCTTATTGGAGCATCCTGAATCTATCTGTCTCACAGTCCCTGAAAACATGCTCCATTTAAGACTTTTTTTTTCCTTTTCATGATGTATATTATTACAGTATTTCCATTTGCAACTAATGGCATATATTATTTGCATTTGCATCACAAAACAAACATTTTCTGACAGATTAGATGGCAAGGTGAAATAAAAGACGTGAACAGATTTTATATTCCCCAAATAATTACAGCTACGATATATAGTGTATTGTTTTGAAGCAAAGACATGACCTGACTTGCATAAATAGTTTGCCTGGCATGTTTAGATAAAATAACATTTCAAACAGAACAAAACTGAATTGATATACAGACAACATTCAAATGTATATGAAAAGAAAAATAATAAATTCAGATATAGAAAATTATCTTTGGATAACAGGGGTTCTAGTATCCTTTGCTCTAATCATATACCATTTGTTGTATGTAGATTTTACAGAAAAGGAATCTCTATAAAAGACTGGTATTATAATGTTCTCTGTACTGGAGGGCAGGGGTGGGGGGATCCTCTGTGCTGGAGGGGTCGGGGGGATCCATGTACAAATAACTGAATGCTGTAATTTGGAAATGCTCAACACTAACACTACAAATTTGAAGCAACTACTACTGAGGCCAAATCTTTGTTCTATGTGCATCTCATGGAAATGGAGGATAAATACTGAAGCTGAATGGCCTGGACAAAGAAGGAAGCTCTACAGAAGCTGAACCTTGCAGTCATTTCAAGTTTTCTGCAGACTTTTTGCCCAACAAGAAGTATTTGCAAAGCAATTCCCATGGACTACATTTGTGCTCTGAGGAAGGAGAACCTATTTTGACTCAAGAACAGTTTGGTAGGGGTATATATAAATGCATATTTTTGGTTGAATTACGTCAGGCTACATAGCATTATTGGAAGTTAAATTGCAAAACTACCTTAAAGTTCTCCTCCTTTTCAGAGAGCAGGGAAAATCCAGAAAGCTTTCCAGAAGAGGCAATTTGTATGTTTTGCTGCAAAACATGTTGCCATGACTTCTCACTATTCTATAATGGGATTCATAATGTGTGGAAAATATAGATACTGTCGAGCATGGTACAATGCAGAAAGTCAAATGAGTTGACTGAATGTGGAGGAGCTCTTGGTCCAATCCACACAACATCACTATAGAGATCACGGGAAGGGCAGACTAACATTTTCATGTTTGTTTTCTCCACTGCTGCAGAATTTCCTATTTGCAGTGAATGACAATTTCAATAAACTGATGAGAACTATGTTTCCAGATAGTTAAATGGCTAAGTAACATGTATGAAGATGCACAAAAAAAAATGTGTTTTTTTTAAAGAGCGAGTCACTGGTCCAAAGTGACTGATCTTCTGTGGCTGATGGTAGGCTTGAACCTGGGTATTCCCTGTGCCAGTTCGATATCTTAACCACTACACCACACAGATTTTCTTGAGCAAAATATGGAGCAAATGTTCTTCCTTTGATCCACATGGTTTTCTGGTGGACCTCTATTCTCATCTTGAAAACCTGCCACAAGGAAAGAATTTTTCAGAGAAGATATTTCATCTTGTAATGAAACAATCAGGTCCTCAGCCATGTTACAATTTAATGGTTAAAAGCATCTTGCATACTGAAAAGCCCTTAACTGCTATTGTATATTGCAATATGTTTCCACTCAAATGGCACAAAATCGGAACAAATTGCTTTATTAGGAACTTGAGATAGTAGAATATATATTCAAGGGTTAAATTTATAAATGTTGTTTTGTTTCTGGATACAATTGTACCACAATTTAAGATGCAGCTTTAGTGTGAAGATCCTATGAACCACAAACTGTGTCCAGCTATGGCGAAGCTACACGTGGACCTGTAAGATGGTTTATGAAGCCATCAAGCATACCTGACAACAAAGGGGGATATGGAGTGGCAGCAGCTGAAGAAGAGGAAGGCAGGAAGGCAGGAAGGGGAGCAATGATGATGCAAAAGGGGATGGACAGGAGAATCCAGGGAGATTTCAGGGGACACACCTGGCAGGCTACATAGGCCTTTATCCATGTTTTCCATTTACACTTTAATCACTTCATCTCCAGATGTAAATTCATACACATACTGACAACTGTAAACAAACAAGCAACCAAGCAAACTGCTAATTCATATACATTAAGCTCCTCTGCATGACTTCTACATAGGTCTTGGAAACTGTCTTTTACCCCCAAGCTGGCTGATTACTGTCAATCTCTAATAAACAATAGACATTGCGTTTACTCTGACTAGATTTAATGCACTCAGCAGTTACTGATGGTAAATATCAAAAAATTCCCTTCCACAAACAACTTTGCCTCTGTGACTCCCATGCCATAGAGAATGTTCAGCATGTTGTACTGCAAGTTCTACCTGAACCTCCATGAGGTATCAATCCAGCCACTCATAAAGGAATTCCCAGAGAGAAAGGACCAATGGTATGTGTCCTATCTTTTAGGAGACCATAAAAGCATGATCACCCATAATGTTGCCAAATTTTGCCTTGCTGCTACAAGAGTGAGGCAGCAAATATTGTCCAACAAAACTGCATTGATATCTTTAAAACTCTTTCCCCTCCCTTTCCTTTCTTCCTCTTTAATTCATATAACTTATTTTAATTGCAATCTTTAATGTACATTTTACGTGTTGTATGTATATGTGCACATGTTGGTCAAATACCATAATAAAGATTGACCTAGCAATGGAGGTGAATATGTGTAGCTCAGGGTTGAACTGTGGAGTCCTTGGGGTTCTCTGAGCTTGGTTCTTTTCTTG